CTGATACTAAAAATTAATATCAAATAAATTCTAACAACAGCTGATCAAGCTTAAACGTGCTGCTGTTGTTTAGCGCGACATCCGCTGGTTTCCTCTTTCTGGCGCAAAGTGGGCGATAAACAAGAGAGCCGATCAGCTGATCATTGATCAGTTTCACGATTGAAGTAGAAACAGGAGAGGGAGGGGAGAGAATGAGAGAAGAAGAAACAGCTGACAGCGTAAAGATGCAGAATAAATCCAGCTTTGTGTCTTTTTCCATTCTAGCTGAAGTCCGGGACAAACTGTGCTCCTTTTCGGCTCAATACAAAACCCGTAATATTTTCTCTGAATACGGGACGATTCCATTTTTTAAGGGATGGTTGGCAACTCTACTAACTAACCTTATGAATGAAATAAAGTTCACTATCAGTAACATCATTGCACCCACCCAGCAGCTCTATGTAAGCTCTGTCATGCTAGCTAGCACGCAGTACGAGTTATTGTAACTGACTGTAAAAAGTCAGCACAACGAAAATAAACTCCACCTAAAGTTGGTTTATATCTGACCCAGATAGACTGCAGGTCATAACTTCTTACCTGAAGTTCAGTTCACCTGACACTCGCACCGCCAGCCGCCTTGGATCTCTCCTCCTCCTGCCTCCCCTTTCCCTCATCCACCTGCTGGACTCTGTTGAAGCTCCGCCATATTCACCACCAAACAATTGAGTTATTTTTACACATCTGCCAGCATCTGGCCAATCCACCACCTTTCATTGTTTATACCGTTACTACAAAAAAAATCAAAAATCATCGGCCCATAAAAACGAAAAATCAGCATTTGCCAGGTGGGCCGATGGCCTATGGTTCTGACCTGCTTTTTGCAAGAATTGGCCAATCAGAAGAAAGTTGGCAAGGGATTGAAATGCATTGAGGACTTATATATATATATATGACAAATTTGTGTCTTTCCTTCAACTTCAACAAAAGTTTCAGTTACCTCAATCACATTTTTTTCGTTATCTTCAAATAAGGAATTTTGTTCAACGAAACTTTTTAGACTTTCCACTGAAGCCACTAAGTCATACTTACTTTGATATAATTCGGAAAGCAGATTTTAAACATCTGATATCTCAGTTTGTCAAGTGCTTTACAATCCCAGTTGATTCTGATCGAATTAAGAGTACATGGGCTGAAGACCTCGGTGTTCCTCTGTCTGAGGACCAATGGTCAAACTGTTTGTCCAATATTCAGAAAGGCTCAATAAATGCCAGATATAAATTAATCCAGTTTAAAGTCATTCACAGATTACATTTTTCTAAACTTAAACTTAACCGGATCTATAATTCTGTATCCCCCTTATGTGATAGATGTAATATCGGTGAAGGTTCCCTTGCACATCTACAGGGAGTGCAGAATTATTAGGCAAATGAGTATTTTGTCCACATCATCCTCTTCATGCATGTTGTCTTACTCCAAGCTGTATAGGCTCGAAAGCCTACTACCAATTAAGCATATTAGGTGATGTGCATCTCTGTAATGAGAAGGGGTGTGGTCTAATGACATCAACACCCTATATCAGGTGTGCATAATTATTAGGCAACGTCCTTTCCTTTGGCAAAATGGGTCAAAAGAAGGACTTGACAGGCTCAGAAAAGTCAAAAATAGTGAGATATCTTGCAGAGGGATGCAGCAGTCTCAAAATTGCAAAGCTTCTGAAGCGTGATCATCGAACAATCAAGCGTTTCATTCAAAATAGTCAACAGGGTCGCAAGAAGCGTGTGGAAAAACCAAGGCGCAAAATAACTGCCCATGAACTGAGAAAAGTCAAGCGTGCAGCTGCCAAGATGCCACTTGCCACCAGTTTGGCCATATTTCAGAGCTGCAACATCACTGGAGTGCCCAAAAGCACAAGGTGTGCAATACTCAGAGACATGGCCAAGGTAAGAAAGGCTGAAAGACGACCACCACTGAACAAGACACACAAGCTGAAACGTCAAGACTGGGCCAAGAAATATCTCAAGACTGGTTTTTCTAAGGTTTTATGGACTGATGAAATGAGAGTGAGTCTTGATGGGCCAGATGGATGGGCCCGTGGCTGGATTGGTAAAGGGCAGAGAGCTCCAGTCCCACTCAGACGCCAGCAAGGTGGAGGTGGAGTACTGGTTTGGGCTGGTATCATCAAAGATGAGCTTGTGGGGCCTTTTCGGGTTGAGGATGGAGTCAAGCTCAACTCCCAGTCCTACTGCCAGTTTCTGGAAGACACCTTCTTCAAGCAGTGGTACAGGAAGAAGTCTGCATCCTTCAAGAAAAACATGATTTTCATGCAGGACAATGCTCCATCACACGCGTCCAAGTACTCCACAGCGTGGCTGGCAAGAAAGGGTATAAAAGAAGAAAAACTAATGACATGGCCTCCTTGTTCACCTGATCTGAACCCCATTGAGAACCTGTGGTCCATCATCAAATGTGAGATTTACAAGGAGGGAAAACAGTACACCTCTCTGAACAGTGTCTGGGAGGCTGTGGTTGCTGCTGCACGCAATGTTGATGGTGAACAGATCAAAACACTGACAGAATCCATGGATGGCAGGCTTTTGAGTGTCCTTGCAAAGAAAGGTGGCTATATTGGTCGCTGATTTGTTTTTGTTTTGTTTTTGAATGTCAGAAATGTATATTTGTGAATGTGGAGATGTTATATTGGTTTCACTGGTAAAAATAAATAATTGAAATGGGTATATATTTGTTTTTTGTTAAGTTGCCTAATAATTATGCACAGTAATAGTCACCTGCACACACAGATATCCCCCTAAAATAGCTAAAACTAAAAACTAACTAAAAACTACTTCCACAAACATTCAGCTTTGATATTAATGAGTTTTTCGGGTTCATTGAGAACATGGTTATTGTTCAATAATAAAATTATTCCTCAAAAATACAACTTGCCTAATAATTCTGCACTCCCTGTATTTTGGCATTGCCCTGTCTTGAAAACTTTTTGGAGCCAAACTTTTACGTGGTTTTCAAACCAATTTAGGAAAAAGGTACCACTTGATGGTACACTGGCTATGGATCATTTGCATCAATCGAATCTTTTTCCTTTTCACAAAAACAGATAATTACAATGGGTATGCTGGTGGCAAAGAAACTTATTCTTTTACAGTGGCGGTCTTCTTCGGCCCCGTGTTTTAAAAGGTGGCTTAATGAGATGGTGTCTGTGGCCAGGGGGGAACAGATAAGATTTGATAGAAAGGGGAAACTGGCGAGTTTTTGTATGATTTGGCAGCCATTTCTAGAATTCTTAAAAATTAACTGATCATAATTCATGCCTCACACCCCGCATGAATTTTCTTATTTTATTTTATTTTACTCTTTATTTAGTTAATATTGCTATAATTTTTTTCTTCCTCTTTTGTCTTCCTCTTTTTTCTTCTTTTTTTCCATGCTTATAAGTTCACAACTGCTAAATGTAGTAATTGTCCTCAGTTGAATCTGTATAAGCATGATGTGTTTAATTTAAAAGCAAAAAATAAAATAATTTAAAAAAGAGAAGAAAGTTGGCTTACAGGAGAGTAGCTACAAGACAATAGATGAACCACTTGCTTTGATGCTTAATAATGCAAAGCTACTCTAGTGAAGTAGAGCATAAACATACTGAGAACAAAGGCACCAATAAGTCATTGATAAGTTAGAGGTTTAGACAAAAAAGATCAGTTATTAATGTATTCTGAATTAAAAGCTACAACCAAGTTCAGTTAGCTTTTTTCATTATTTGTTTACTGTGTGTTTTAGTAGGCTTTAGAGTTTTTTGTTGGCGGTTTAGCCTTAACACACATGTCAGCGGGTTCTTGTCAGAGGATAAAAACCACGTGACCAACCTGTCTGAAACGTCCAGTCCAATAAGAAATAAAATAGTTTTCAGAAAAGCTTCTGAACGACTTATAATTGATACAGAACACTCACACATAAAATGCTATGTCCCTATACTTATATTTATTTAGTTACATTTCTATGAATTTTATTCCCAGCAATATTCTTTTCTTTAAAGAGTTTCATTTCAGAGCTTTAATTCTGAAGTCACACTTCGAATATTTCTGGTGAAATTTTGGCACGGTCTGTTTGACTTGATGCGCCCTTGCACAGAGAGATGCGGCGACTGTGGTGCGCGCGCATAACGTCAGAGCTGAAGATGTTTGGTCAAATCGCGTTAATTAAGTAGCACCATACCGGATGTTAATCGAAATTACCGACAAAATAAAACACATGCTAGTTTTCAACGTTTAAATGTGATATTCTGTATTTGTAATGTACTAATAATAATAATGATAATAATAATAATAATATGATTGTGCCTTGGTTTGTTAAATAACTTTTCAAATTATTGTGTTATTTTTTTGACTTTCATTATTTTGCTTGAAACATTCTTTTCCTGCTTCATTTCATTTAAATAAAGAGGTTGGGTATTGGTAGTTTAAGATTTTCTGAATAATAATAATGGATTTATATATTTTACAATTCCACTATTCATTCACTCTCACACACTGGTGTAGGCAAGCTACAGTTGTAGCCACAGCTGCCCTGGGGCAGGCAGACTGACAGAAGCGAGGCTGCCATATCGGCCCCTCACCAGTAGGCGGCAGGTGAAGTGTCTTGCCCAAGGACACAACGACTGAAACTGTCCGAGCTGGGGCTCGAACCGGCAACCTTGCGATTACAAGACGAACTGCCAACTCTTGAGCCACGATCGCCCACGACCGAATGTGTGGTTGAAGGCTTCCAGAATAAATCTAAAGTGGATCCAAGGCAGAAGACTTTATTTTTTAAATTAATTTTACTTTTTTATTTCTTGTTTTCATTCATTAATTTATTTATTGTTTGATTTTTTTTAAAGTTGTGTTGATTTATAAACATTTTTTTAAAAAAAAAATCAGTAGCCTTAAAAATAAAACAAAAAACCCTCATTTTGGAAGCATCGCGTGTCATGAATGTCTAAAAAGCGGGAAAGCTGTTAAAACGAATCACTAGGAACGACTAAAACGAGCCTTTATTTTGAGCGGCGTGACCGGAAATGCCGCCCGTTATCGTCGCCGCCTTTACCCTGCTTCCAGCAAACACACGGCATCTCTTAGCGAACATGGCGGCAACTTGACAACGGCAGCGAGCTGAGGATGGTGAGGGCTTGAAAAAGAAAAAAAGAGGTCTGTCACAGGCTGTAGGCCCATCCGCCGACACAAAGGCATACAGCTTCGCCATGTTGGAAGAGGATAGCGCCTTTGTCCCTGCACGACCGAGGCCGGGGGAAACGTAAACGCGTCGGGAAGTGTTTCTAAAAACGGAGTCGAGGCTACGCAGAGGAGCGGAGCGGCGCGGCGCGGAGGAGAGCTCGGGGCGGGCGGGCGGGAGGACAGCAGCTTCACCGGTCAGCCATGGAGGATGCGGCCCGTGGTCGCCAGCGTTTGATTTCCCAACCGACCCACGCTCCTTTTAATGGGAATTACCGCTGATAGCAAAGGCAAGCCGGGACAACCCACCGCCCGACACTTGAGGGGAGGAAAACGCGAAGCGGACCCGACGTCAATGACTGTTGCGGCAGAGGAGCCCCCACGGTGGAGTCGGCCGGTTCCCAAAATATGACCAGGGGTGCTGGGACGTGTTGGCAGCAAGAAGATGACGACGGCTTCCAAATCTGGCTAGAGTCCCCCCGCGACAACCAAAAGCCATTCACCGACTCAGAGAGGGCGCAGAGATGGCGACTGTCCTTGGCATCCCTCTTGTTCTTAACCATCCTCCTCTCTGATCACCTGTGGTTCTGCGCCGAGGCCACGCTGGCCCGGACCCGGGACAAGTTCGCATCCACCCACCCTTTGTCACCTCAGACATACTCAGCACACAGCAGCCTCAGAGGAAACCCAGATGATATTTTTATAGGAAACTCTACCAAACATTTGTGGCGGCTCGAAACTTGCCACCGGGATAGTTTATCTAACGACTGCTTTACTTTCTTGGATGCCGACGAGTTGTGCAGGGGCCTTTCCGACAGAGAGGGGACGCGGGCTGTAAATATGAGCAATTTGTACCTTTCCTTTTGTAACTCCTACTCCCTGCTGGATTTGTTGTACGGCTCGACGAGTCCGGACAATTTGAACTGCAGCCTCGACGCGCTCGGCGACGGCGACGCGAACCGCTGCAGTCTGTGCGTCCAGGCGTACCAGCGCTACGACCAGCACGCCCAGGAGAAATACGAGGACTTTGAGCTCCTCACTCAAAAATACGAGCCGGGGGCATATTCGGTGAGGACGTGCATGGAGCAGTGCAAGGTAGGCTGCAAACAAACAAATAAAACCTGCAAGAAAAGAGAGGAAAAAAACAAACAAACAAACAAAAGGGATGGGGTGGGAGGGTGTTGGGGAGAGGGGGGTGATGTGGTGGTGGCCATCTGTTGATTTGGGCCCGGATAGATGCCAGTTTGTGGTCCTCCTCCTCCTCCTCCTCCTCTTGTCGCCATGGAGACGGATGACAGATTCAAGGAGACTCCCGGCTCCGGGCCTCATGTTCATTCATCTCCTCATCGTGTTTAGGCCCCATGCTAATGTGCAGATGGAGGCCGTGTGTGCGCGCCCCATCCCCACAGTCCTCCCTTTTACAAGCTTGTGCACTTCATAATACCGGAGAACGCATATGGTTAAGTAAGACCACTGGATAATTTAATGCAGTGGTCCAATTTACCCACCCCTCCAAAAACAATGTGTCTGCTCTTTAAATGTACAGGTTCCCTTGTAGCTCACCTGGTTGAGCAGGTGGCTCAGTCCGCTGCTGATCATTGTCTTCTGGTCTCCCTTGTTGGCTCCCCCCCCAGGAAATGCACATTTAATTAGTCCTGCGTTTTCTAACAGCCCAGGTTGTCTTTGTCTGTTCTGTTAATCAGTTGAAATCAAAATCGCGTAAGTCTTTGGAACTACACAGCAGTATTTTACTACTTGAAGTCTAGAAGTGCTTTAAATTTCCAGATGCTGCCAGCATGTTTAGCAGCTCATTTGACCAAAAAATTGGAGTAATTATGTACCAGCCATCAAGCAGGGCCAGATCAAACCCTTCCTCGGCCCTTTTTTGGCCACTGTGCCGCATGGTTGACACTCCAATTTTATGGCCTTCTAACAGTTTAATGATCAGGAATGAGGCAGGCACCTTATGCAAACAACTCTAGGATCCCCATGTGTGTGTTTGTGTGTTGCTGCAGTCTGCCAGGTGTTCACCACCACTGCCCCACTCCATATCAAGAGTGTTTCATTACAGTCAAGAGGTGGTTTCCCTGCCTAATGTGCCGGAAGTCTCCTTCCCGCTGCTGTTTGCTTATCTCCATATCCGCACACGCGC